ATTCTTCTTCAAAGTCAGATCATGATCATGAGGACATGTATATGTAATATATTATCCATTTCATGGAATTATTGTATATAATACATTGTACATACTATATACAGTGAAACCTATGTCATGAACACCTTTTTAATATGAACACCTCTCATTGTGAATATTTTCCTGCTCCTAAATATGCTATCTCCCGTTGATTCAGATATTTTAGAGACCTTGAAATGTGATCACCTGCTAATTCGAACACCTTTAGACAGTTCCACTGGTGTTCAAATTAGACAGGTTTTACAGCACATGTATAACAACAAGAGTATGTGTAATATATGTGGAGCCAGACTTTGAAATATTGTTTGTCAATTTCAGCAGGTGTGTACTGTTTTTGATACATCACAGGGTTCGAACTTAACTTTTTAGCTTGGTAGTGAAAATAGTTACCTGTAACTTTTTCTAGGTAACTAAATGCCAAAGTAAGGTAGTTGTTTTTTACCGCTTGAAAAATTCGATAAAACACAGTTTTCCCTGAACACTATAAAATAAAAAAGTTCATTGATTTGTTTACATCAAGTTTATTAAATATTCATATAAACTGATAAACATTTATGTAAACATTTAAATTTAATGACCTGTTTTCAAAGATGAGTCTAAAAATCTCAAGTTTTAAACAGTGTACAAAACTTAATTTGTCAACATTATATTCATGGTAAATTTTAGGTGTTAACTTGTAACCATTTTTATGTTGGACTTAAATATAGAATAATCCCTATTCAGCAAACAGATCATTCTCCCATAGACAGGGTTCGAAATAAGCGTGAGAGGGTATTCTAGGGTATCTATCATCTTTCATCCATCACAGTAGGTCGTTTTGACCTACGGCCACTTAAATACCATCTGTTCACTGCTCTTGCAGCGTTATATTGATCATTGTTGTTTTGATTCATACTTATTTGCATTAGGTCTGTTAAAGTTTGGTTATTTAGTCTGCATCTCCAGTCAGTCTTAATACGTTTCATTCGGTGGGCAAAACAATGTATAGCTACGATCCAGGGGAGATTCTCTGCAAATCTTGTTTTGACACTGTTGTTATTGCCAAGATTGACTGAGGCTCCATCAGCCCCCATTCCCACAAGTTTTTGTCTCCATTCAGTTTCTACATTATCCAGTGAATTCACTACAGCTCTGAAAATCCCATCTGCCTTAGCATTTTCTACTGCTTCAATTGACACAAATTCCACAACAGGATAAAAATCTTTCAGGTATCTCACCATAACCACTTCTTGTTCAATGTCAGCTTTATCGTTAGAGCCGTCAAACATAACACTGATGAATGGTGACAAGTTTAAATTTTCCTTTAGTCTATCTCGTATCACACCGGCAATGTGTTCTATCATTGTGCGACATGCATGATCATTGTGGTAGGTTTTGCCACAATTAACACCATTTAGCTCATGAAGCTCAACAAGACTTTTAAAGTCAGTAAATGGTCTCTCACTGACAGCTATATAGTATGCGATATTGAACAGTTTTATCATTTTTTCACATTCCTCATTACTCATTTTTTGAAGTCCTTTTTCCATTGGTGGGAGTATATTTTGTGCTTTTTTAGTAGAAGCATCATGAGCAGCACAGGATGATCTGTGGCCATCACTATTAATATGTTTTAACGCAGCAAACTTTGTTATGTTTTTTGTTCCAGTGACAAAATTAAGTGTTTTATTTGGGTTATATTTTTGGCACACCTTACAAAACATTGTCTCGACATGTATTTTGTCATTAGAAGTAAACTCCAGGTGATTAAATTTCCACAATTTAAAAGTATTTATTTTAACAGTTAATTGATTTATGTTTCCTGCTATGATCACTTTTCTATTTGGATTTGGTTTCTTGGGCCTTATATCATTGTTTGCTTGAGTTACATTTGCTACGCCACTACTTGTACCTGCCTCTTGTTGGGTATCACTGGTTTTACGCTTTTGTTTACCTGGGATTTGTTTCCCCTTGCCATTATCATGACATTCATCGGCTTCTATAAAAAAATTTAATGTAAACAAATCGTAGTACTACGAACTTCATTCATAAAATTGCGGATGGATTTTTATGAGCCTATTAACGCACATTTAACGTCCCGGTATACCAGAAAAAATAATCCTTGGATCTAGCAGCGTAACACAAGCTCTGTGTTGAAGTAAGGTGATTTCTATATTTTAATGAATAAACTCAACAAAATGGCACATTTTACATATAAAGATAAACTAACAGCATTTTGAAATTAACTAAATTGTTCCATGGAAATGAGGATGACGTCATTTTAGCGATCGACCATCTTGGATTTGGAATACAAATATTTTCTGATCACGTATAATTTTCAGAGTTTCTAAGATGAAAACGACAGATAAAAACGTGACACAATTAAAAATTCAATCGAGTTATCATAGTACTACGATATGTTTACCATTATTCTTTCTCTTAACTGGGAGAAAGCCAAATTTTGCGAATGGATTTGCCATCGTTTCAAATTCGCGCCAGTCGGATCTACTTAATGTGGCTTCTAAGCCGTGGTCTGATTGGTTCAAAAATAATTATTTTTCGAATGAACGCCAATCAAAACTTGCGTACTTTCCGTGGTCTGAAAACTAGGTCACCGGAAATAAACATTGTGAAATGAGAATATTTATCGTTAGAACAATTTCATTTGAGAAGTCGAGCTGACGATCGCATAGAGATCTTCCTAAGGTAACTTTTTATGTTACTTGGGCATGTTACTAGGTAACTATTCAAGAAAATTAAGGAACTAATCGTTACTTTCGCAACGCTAATTTCGAACCCTGCATCAATCATCACCTGGCAGTAACTCCTGGTGAATAAGTGGAAACATCTAGCATTAGTATATTTTTAAGGTCTTGTATTAACCATATTTTCATTCTATTTAACCTGTTTTTCTTCTTTATTCTACTTTAATCAATACTTCTGGTTCAAAATCTGTTTCATTCTTGTGTAAATTGTTAAAGGCTCATGCTTTGTTAAAATAATTTTAGAAATGAATTTGTAAAGCTAGTTAGAGTAATATGTACAGGGTGTCAAATAAATATGTTCTCCCCCTTGATTTCAAGAGTATGAACTTTTGTGTATAAAAGTGTACAAAGTGGAGCTAGCCATCTGAAACTTCTTGTAATGTTGCTCCATGGAGCCTAGTTTTAAGGTGCTAAAGAACAATTTAGATATCATACAGACAAAAAAGTTATGCAACATTTTAAAGATGTTGAAGTTAAGGGGGATATGTGCAACATTTGTGAATTATGCATAGTGTACACAAATGCTCAAGATGATGGAATATCCTTAGCAAAATTGACACTGGAATCAGGGATTTGCCATGATTATTTTGTGTGGCCCCGCAGTATATTGAAAACAAGACCCTTTAAATTAATTCATTGGGGAAAGATATAGCATTTTGGAATAAGCACATCTAGATTATGGATGATGCCAAAAAACAAACGTTAGTTAGTTCATTGAAGATTGAAGTGAAACAGAACACATCGATATGGAACTTGATGAACAAATGTCTGTTGCGGAAATATCTATTTTTATTATAACAATTGGAGCAGATTATTGAACTTCTGATTAATCATGCTTTCAACTTGAATGCCATTCTAGGTGAATGGTTCTTGTATATACAGACAGAACCACTGAGATTGAACATACATGAATACTTTAAGAACATCTTTATCCCAGGGTCTGATTGGTTTATTGGGAAATTGCTATATCAAAATATAAAAACATTTATTTACCCAAGTGCCACCAACAGTTGTGAAAAAATCAAGTTATTTCATTATGGTTTAACCTCCCCTCTTCTCATATTATAAAATTTGAAAATATTTACTTGAGTTTAGCTTGAAAATCTACATCTTTAAAATACATAAATCAGAGCTGACTTTAATGGCAAAATGCAGGCAGGCATGAATAATTAATCCTTAAAGTACATAACATCTGATTTGTTTAATCCTGTGAAGAGACTTACAATAAAACATGTCTTAGTGAACACCTCTCTCTCATGAACACCTGTGTTTAGAGAACACCTCTTCAAGATATGTTTCACATAGACTACTGTATGAACACTTACACCTATATACTATACAGTGAACGCTTTTTTGTGGCTCCATAGGTGTTCACTATATACAGGTTTTACTGTAATTCATTACTAACTTCAACTATTGACAAATAACTCCTGTCATTGGCCTTAAATGAAACAAGTAGCATGTTGTTAAGTTTGAAGAGTAATTATTTACGATATGCGTGCTAGTTGAGAAATTACAATTCAGTCTGAATTCTTTTCATTTCATCAGTTAAATGGCAAAAGTTTTGTCTGTTTCTGCAATATATCCCATTTTGTGAAATGTTTCTGTCAATCTCATTTGAACTTGAAAGTAAATCTCAGTTTTGTCAACTTTACCAGTAAGTTTTCAGGAAACCTGCAGTTTTATGAATAAAAGGTAATGGTTGATTACCTTTCAAACTTTTCAAATCAAATAAATGTTCTATATGATGCTGGTGAAATTCAAATTGACAGTAAAACATGTTGCTTATGGGATTATTTACAAAATATCTAGCTTTTAAAACAAAATGTTGAAAATATAAAAGATATGGTTTTAGATTTAAAGTGTGAAATTATGAATTAGGAATAGAAATGGCCAATACAATATTTGAAAACATTTTTTTTTTATTTGTTAGCACTGTCTTCTCATTGTGATTCTCATTCTAATTGTATTGAACCGAAAGCCAAATGTATATTATGGGATAAAAGGTTATTTACCTGGATTGAATATGCAGTTTATTCCTCTGAAAATATCATATTTTCCATTGGAATAAAACCTATATTGAATCCCTCCTAGTAAATAACCAAGATATTTATTTAGATACTCACATTTTTATACAGCATTTCTTTAGAATAGCATGACATCTATATTCTGATCCACAAATTAATTTCAGATAGAAGGAACTTGAAAAGAAACATTATGGTCTGTATAAAACAATTAATGCCTAAAACTCTAAAGCATTACATAAGGTGTTTTTTTACATTTCCAGCATCGTTCTATGGAGACAGTCTGGTGCACCTCCCACTTCAAACAGCCAGCAGTAACACAAGGGTCCAGCTACAGTTCAAGACAGCGCGTGCCAACACCCTACTGCTCCTAGCTGCGGGAAATACAGACTACCTCGTTGTTGAGCTAAAACAAAGTATCGTACAAGTCCGTGTAGAACTTGGCTCTGGAGAGGCCATTATGACATCACCTCCTGGTTTAAAACTTAATGATTTACGTTGGCATTTTGTGGAAATACAAGTTGATAGTGGTATTGCAGCACTTGTTGTTGATAGAATTTTCCGGAATGCAGTTCGAACTCCAGGACGTTTGCGTGAGTTGAATATTCAGCAGGGACTATTTCTTGGAGGTTTGGGGACATTTAGTGATACATTCCTCGGAAATTTCCCAAGTTTTCGAGGTTGTTTACGATATGTGCTATATAATGCAAAGGATGTATTCTATGAAGCAACCAAAGTTGGACACCCTTTAAATACATATGGCGTCACATGGGATTGTGCTCCAGAATTTTCTGCAACTTCTGGACAACCAATCAGTTTCATGGATGCATCATCATACATAGCATTTAACAACTTCAATGTTAAAACCCAAGGAACTTTAACATTTGATATTAAAACTCGAAGTGAAGTTGGTGTGGTTGTGTATAACTCAGGTAGACAAACAAAGCAAGATTTTCTAGCATTAGAAATCATCAATGGGAAACTTCAGCTAAGTATGAACAAAGGGACTAGGCTATCAACTATTGAATCCATGAAAATAATCAATGATGCAAAATGGCACTCTGTTGCTATAACAATAACCCCTGATGCAGCCAAACTCACAATAGATGGTGTTATCCAAATTCAGGATACAGACGTTGATGAAATGTTGGAACTGATGGGACAGTTATACATCGGAGGGGTGGGGTTAAAATCTCGGGTTCATGCTCGTAAGAAAGGCTTAATCTCCCTCAACCAGTCAGGCATAGGAGCAGGCTCAATGGAAGGCTGCATCAAAAATGTTATTATGAATAACCGTGTGATCGGATTCAGAGAGGCTCAGATCTCCCATCATGTCCAGCCTAACTGCAAGTGGGAGTACCCCTGTGTGAAAAACCCATGTGGGGGTGGGGAGAACATTCAGTGTGTGGAGGAGGGCAAGGTCGGGTATAGTTGCATTACAATGCCCCCTGTTGACCCTTTTTCTAGTTCTGAGTCACCTTCTAATCCCAAACGTATAGAGTTTCTGGAGATTCACCCTTTGACACTGAAGGAAGGGGAACATGGTGCTATAACTTCCAGTAATATTGATGTGACGCTTGATCTTGAAAGATATCGACTGAGGAAATCAGCTGTTATCTTCAGCATTGTGAATTTACCAAAATTCGGAACAATAAATGTGGACATCAGTCAACGGCCTAGCAACCTGATGTTTACCCTATTGGATCTTAACAACCAGAAGGTCTCATATGAACATGATGGCTCAGAGAATGCCCTTGATAGTATTGACTTTGAAGTTGAGATTTATGACCAAAATGAAGTTCTCCCAGCTTCCCTAAAACACAAGTACAGGTTTACATTAATGGTGAAAATCTCCACCATAAATGACCCCCCAGATATCTACCTGTTGCCCAATAATACTTTAACAATGGTCCAAGACACTAAAGCTGTAATCACCAATAAGACCCTTCATGCTACTGACCCCGATACAGAACCAAGTAATCTCTTATTCACAGTCATCTATGTCGATTCAACAACTGGGGGACACTTTGAGAAACAAGGGGCGGTAGGGACGTTGACGCAATTCACCCAAGATGACATAAACAGAGGGAGAATCTCATTTGTTCATACTGCGGGGATTATGCAATATGTAGAAATTTATGTCAGCGATGGTACAGCTGAAAGTGAGACTGTTCGATTAAAAATCATGACTGAGAATTTATCATTAAATGTTGTCCGCAACACAGGATTGATTCTTGCACAGGGTACATCAGCTCCAATATATCGTGAAAATTTAACGGCTCTGACTAGTTCTCCAATTAAAGATGCGGAAATTCGCTATCATTTGACAAGTCTTCCTCAGTATGGTGTTGTTCAGAGGTTACGTTACACAGACAACAGGTGGATGAGAGTTGAGACATTCTCACAAAGACATATAGACAGACATCGCATAAGGTATTTGAACAGTGATCCTTCCCGTACACAAAGAGACATCTTCAGTTTTACTGTCAAATGTATGGAGGCTGAAACCTCTGAACAAGACTTTGTTATACGCTTCGTTGAAGTGAATCTAATGATAATACGTAATAATCCACTGCAACTTGATGGTGTCCAAGAAGGAAGAATCAATAGATCACATATGCTAGTACAGACCAGTCTCTCAAGCCAGCGTCCTAGGGATATACAATACAACATGGTGGAGCTGCCCAAACAAGGTCATATATACAAACTCCCAAATGTGACAGCTGTTGTATCCCAAGGAAGGAGGCTTGCTGTGGATGAAAATTTCTCCCAAGAGGACATCAATTTGGGACTGATACTTTACAGATTATCCAGAGTAGATTTTCATCCAATACAAGACAGCTTTAACGTTCGACTCCTTGCCCCTGGAGCCAACCCCAAATCCCACACATTTAGAATCTTGTATTACCCAGAGGATACTGATACTATACTCACTAATAATGGACTGTATGAGGTACCAGAAGGGGGAAGCAAACCAATCACACCAGAGATGCTGTACATGGAGAAGGTTGGCACTACAGGTTATTCATTCATTGTGACGTCACCAACCAAGCATGGAATATTACAATTCAGAGGTCACGACCAGATAATATTAGAGAATAACATTACTGAATTCACTGATGATGACATACGAATAAGTAAATTGTACTACAAACATGACGATTCAGAAAGTGCAACTGACTCGTTTAGTTTCACAGCGGCTCCCATGAACTACCCCACTCCAATGCCATTAGAGATGGACATCATTGAAACATCCGGGACATTTGATATCACTATCATGCTTCGTAATGACAACCCTCCAATCAGACTCGTGGATAAGGTGTTTAATGTGGTGAGTGGGCTAGGCAGGGTGATCACAGTGAATGATCTGTCTTATTACGACCCAGATACGAACTACAACAGTCAAGATCTACAGTATACTAGGCGTGGTATGTCCAACGGTGAGATTGTCGATGCTAGAGATCCAACAACAAATGTCTACCAATTCACACAGAAGGATATAGAAGATGGAAACATCATGTTTAAACACCAAGGCTCTAGCTATGGTAGGGCAGTGATAATGATTACGGATGGACAGTACTACTCGACTGGATTGTTTGAAATCCAAGCTTCTGCGCCATACATCAGAGTTGCAAACAACACTGGGTTGTTTGTCCAGAAAGGTAACATTGTCTCTATAACACCTGCTAATATCAGCATCGAGACTAACATCGACTGCGACTACTCAGACATCCAGTTTACCATCTCCAGGCAGCCACAACAAGGAAAGGTGCTAAAGAATAACAAAAACAGGAGAGTGTTCACAATGAAGGATATCATGGAAGGCAATGTAGTTTACCAGCACAATAACAACACTGACCTCCATGATGCATTTGAATATGTTGTCAGTATTGGAGATACAGAGGCCGAAGGTAGAGTGGCTATTAGTATCTACCTAGCCAGTCATCAGCATCCCCCAAGGGTTGTACACAATAAGGTCCTTGTGTTAAATGAGGGTGAGTCTACTATTATAACCAAAGAGACACTTCTCATAGCCCACCCTGATTCAGACCCTGGCAGTATTGAGTACATTATAACTGATCCCCCAAAGTATGGGAGAGTGAAGATGATGGTTCGAGAACTTACAGAACAAGTCACTAGCTTCACACAGCATGATATCAACACTGGCCAGATTCTTTATTTCCATACCAACCGTGGTCAGTTCAGTGACCAGTTTAAGTTTACTTTGACTAATGGTGCCCATGAGTTAAAAAACATTGACTTTTATATTGACATTGTTCCTACTGTGATCCCACTGCAAGTATCAAATATCACCACACAGGAAGGTGGAGGGAAAGCACTAACGAGTGACTTTCTCCGCATCACAAACACTCACCTACAGAATGACATCATTGATTACATCATTGTCAGGCAGCCAATCAATGGTTGGATCGAGGCGACGAGAATGCCTGGTCACCGCCTCAGACAATTCTCATCCACGGATGTCCGTCATGAATTCATATATTACATACATAATGGAAATGAGACATTTACTGATGAGTTCTCCATCATGGCTAAATCGCGTACATCAGCAAAACAGAGTCTGCCGCATGCTGTGTATGTAACAGTGAATCCTGTGAATGACCAGCCACCCAGCATTGTGAAACATAGCAACATGAGAGTCTGGGTTGGTTCAGTTACAGTTGTCACAAACAGGTAAGCCAATTATATATTTTTCCTGAGATGTACATCTTATTTAAGATCACAGCTGTTCAGAATAATAAAGCATTTGTTTGTAATGAATATGATACTTCAGTTGATTTATTTCCTGTCTTGGCTATTTTAAAATATAAAATTGAATTTAATATATCAGCTATATGTGTAATTACATGGTAATGAGACATTTTATGTATTTTCCAATTCCAACAAATCACCCAACAGTAGAGATATTCAATCAAGCCAAGCTTTAAAATATATATAGAACATGTATGGACTCTACAATTAAGCCATAAAACCTAGTGAACACCTCTCTCTAGCCAACAGCTGTCTCTAATGGACATCCTTCCTCTGCACATACTGTGCTGACTTCTGCATAAACTACCCTCTCTGTAGTGAACACCTACCAAGACTGAACATTTTTCTCTGCAAAAAATGTTCAATATACACAGGTTTTACTTTATATGACTTCCAGTGACATATTTTTATGTTATTGTATTATTTTGTTTCAGATACCTCAGGGCCAAGGATCCAGATTCCAGTCCATCCGAGCTCCTCTTCACAGTGTCAAACCCAATCAGTGGCCACATAGCCTTCGCCAACTCTAGTGACACACCAATCACATTGTTTTCTCAGGAAGATATAGACAATAGCCATGTTGTCTTTGTACATACTGGTAATCAATCTATCTCATTTGTCATTCAGAGACTGTAGAAATCATTGATGTGCCAACCATGAAAATTGTTTGTGGAGTTGACAATGACTTTGTGTTTATCTTATAATCATTCATATCAATGATAAATCTTCACAGGATGCTAAATATAGGTTAATGATCAATATTTGAAAATGTCCGCAATGAATTCATATTGCCCCTCAAACTAAAGCCCACATTGAATCCCTCATAGGAAGTAAATATATTTAACACATGCATGGTTTGAAAGGTTTTGGATAAGGAAACATATTTTGGAAAATATGTCTATTTCCAACACTGACAATGACAAATTATAAACATTTATAAACAGTGTAACAGTAAATCTTGTGTATCCAAACACCTCTCTAATGTGAACATCTCTAAGCGTGAATACTTTTTCATGGTTCATTCTCCCACCAATTCACATAAGAAATTTTGTAATGTGGACTCCTGAATCTGAACAGGATTGACTGGTTCCTGTGGTATTCAGATTAGACAAGTTTTACTGTAGATATATAACTTTGACCTATGTACAATATTAACGTATGAAATGTACATTACAGGTGATTTACAAGGGAGTTTCACAGTACAGGTGTCTGATGGTCTCCACAGTGCAGTACCAGTAGTGATCACAGTCAGGGCCCGGGCGTTGGTCCTGAGCCTAGCGAACAACCCTATGGAGGTATACCCCCACACCACACAGCCAATCACAATGGCACATCTCACTGCTTCCACTGGCGACTCCGATCACATACATCCCATAATTTACACTGTCTTAGCCTCTACAAGGTAATCACATGTGGGAGCAGGTAGTTCACGACACATGTGTGCCAATACAATAGACCAGTCCAATAAATCTTGACAGTGACACCTTTTGGTACATCAGAGAAGCTAAGGTATTTTTGCGAGATTGATGATATCATTGGTTGTAGGTAGGAATCTACCCACAAGCAAATATAGGGATAAACATATTGCTAATTTGAAAAAGTACAACCAATGACATCATCAATCTGGCCAATACATCACAGTTTCTTTGATGTACCAAAAGGTGGCAGGGTTTATTGTGGAATGGTATATTCCCCTTTTTAATAGGAAATTTAAATGTAGTGAGATTTAATATTGAATATCTAGAATTAGATGTGGTATGTTATATGCATTTACTGCTGACATAAAGCACAAGTACAGCCTTACATTATCCCACTAGCAATTGCACATGTACAAGTAGGAATGGCATAGAACAGAAATGGGATAGATTCAGATCTTGCTCTAAGATTTTGAATGAGCTATTTTAAAATAGTTACAATTGTAAACTTTTTTAACATACATGTATTCAATTTTCTTAACCTCCAGATCCAATATATATGTAAACTATGTCATAAAGCTTTCAGTACTCTTATTAATTGATCTAGATCTCAAATGGCATAATTGAAAGTATGATTTGTTGCCTGGCTATTTTTTATGTTCTGTGCCACCCGTGCCCATTGGTGCCAGTCCTTAGATTGTTTTAGTACTTTTTACTCTCTGTACATGTTGTATATATTACATGTATATTATATATTTATTTAATATTTAAAAATATATTGGTTAATATTTGTTTTTATTGTTTGTTTGTTGTAAAATAAAGGGATAATTAGCCATTTTCCAAATCAGGAAATGTATTTGTTGATGGTAATATTGGATTAACTTAAATGTGCATATTAATTCCTGATTTTGTCTTGGATCCACACAACATGTATTTCTCGCTTTAATCATTATGTTTCACATTCTGTTTCAGGTATGGCAAGATCGTTAGGGTAACTGAGAATGATGATACAGAGGTGACCACATTCACACAAGCAGACGTTAATCGCAGAGAAATAGCATACAAACATTTAGACTCTAGCGCCACCTGGGTGCAGCGAGATTCATTTATGTTTGATGTAACTACCATGTACGCACCATCTCTCAGACAACAACTTTTCAATATCAAAATATCCCTGGATAATATCAACAATGAAAACATGAGGACCTTAATCCATGTTTCCGACTTGAATGTTAACGAAGGTGGTGAAGTCACTATGTCTCGTTATAACCTGGATATATCCCTGCTTGAGGATAAATTGACACAAAGTGGTCTTAGTAATGTTCGTCTAATGCTGACTATGTTGCCATTACACGGTAATTTGTATGTGAATAATATTGCGGCCACAACTGGTGTCTCTTTTACACAGCGTGATATAAACAAAGGATATGTTTCCTATCGCCATGACAACTCTGAGACATTATGGGATACATTTGGATTTTCTATACTGTATGATCGCCCTGGGATAACAAGAGATTTAGATCCAAGCCCCAGTAGTGGGCAACTGTATAACACATATAATATCACTATCCTCCCAGTTAATGACAAACCATTTCAATTGATAACCTACGAGCCAACTCTCTACGTCATCCAAGGATTAAACGCTACCATCACAACTGATATCCTAGAGACAGTTGACTTAGATACGCCACCTATAAGCCTGATTTATACAATCACTAATGAGCCAAACCATGGGTATGTAACAGTACAACCAGCCCCTGCTCCTGTTAATGCATTCACCCAGCATGACATTGATGCTAATTCAGTTATATTCATACATGATGGAAGTCATAATAAAGAAGATGAATTTTCTTTTCGTGTCACGGATGGCGAGCATGAGGCCACGTACCATCAACTGTATATTGAGGTTGAATCTCTGACATTAGATTTATACAATCATTCTGATGTCACAATACTTCAAGGTCAATCCTCTATCTATATCAACTACACCCATCTGGGGGCTAGATCTAATGGGGATTTTGACAGCATTGTTTATGAAATCACAAAGACACCAGATTACGGCCAACTGTTCGTCGCAGATCAGACTGTCAATGAGTTCACCCAGGCAGATATCAATAACAATGATGTGTTGTATATTCAAACGGACATGACACGATCTCTTGACACCATGAGGTTTATTGTACAGAATGGAGGGGTTGAGCTCCCTGAGAAACTGTTGAGGTTTAGGGTCGTGCCCTACACAACTCAGAAACCATTTGTTGTATTGGCTGGGATGACATTTAGTATTACAACTGATGTACTTGACGCAAGTGAGCTTGCTGATATATCCGCCAGTAATCCGCTTTACCAGATATCCACCCCGCCGAAATATGGTACACTCTTTAAAACCGTCAGATATGGACGTAAAAGTAAGAAAAAGAAGAACCGATCTAAACGGGATAGCATTAGTGAATTTTCCCATGAAGATGTTGTAAATAGAAACATACATTATGAAACAAGTGACGTTTATCTAGATGGCCCTGTTGAGGAAAATTTTGATTTTATCCTTAGTGCCAAAAATGTTCAACCAGCAGCTGGAAGTGTCATATTTACTCTACAGCCAGTACGTGACTTTACCACTGAGGTAATGAAGAACATTGCTTTTGATGTAACAGATAGCTCCACTACATCTAGCTCTGTAGTTACGGAGCTGGTCCCTGTCAGCCCACAAAAAACGGAAAACGAAATAAGTCAATATATTTTACTCATAGGTATACTAGCAGCTGGATTTTTTCTCATAATACTTATCATTATTATACTCATATGCTGTAGGCGAAAAAAGAAAAAACGGCATATTAAAAAACAGGAACTGGAATCTCAAGAAAGGGTTACAAAAATCCCCTTGGGGGCCCCTCCTCCTGTTATTCCAGTACCCCATAAACATAAACATTCTCGTGGTAAAAAAGGCCACCATATAAAGGGGGATAAAGACAATGTTATAGTTGAAGACAATAAAGGAGTCCCCATTATAAGTCTCACATCATTTCCAACAGGTGCTGAGGCTAAACCCTCAGGGGCACACTCTCACCCCTCAGGGGGACACTCTCATCCCCCAGGGGCACACTCCCATCCCCCTGGGCCACACTCCCACCCCTCAGGGGCAAACTCCCATCACCCAGGGGCATACTCCAAACCCCCAGGAGCACACTCCTTCCCACCAGAGCTCCACGAGGAAGGCTCAAGAACACTCCCAAATAGGACACCACCTAATAAAGCTCCAGCTACAGTAAAATCAATACTCAAATCAAACAGTGTTTCCCGGATCTCCAACCCCCAACCTGCCAACTTGCCAGGTACACCACCCACAACACCAAAGACTCCCAGGAGTGCACACTTTGGTAGAAAAGACATAGTACACGCTATTCCACCAGATGATATCACTCCCCTCATGGCTGAAGGTTTACAAGGTGTACCTCCACCTATAGGCAACATGGAAAACTATTCTAAAGATGATCAAAGTCTTGATTGGATATCATTTGATCCCGAATTGTTACGTCATGCACACAATAATGCTCCTGGTAGAGGAAACACCCGATACCTTGATGTTTGACATGTGATATAAACTATATACTTTTGTTTTTTTGCAGATTTTTATAATGTCAACACCAAGAAGTGGCCACATATTGTTTGAGCCATTATCTTTTATGACCAGCATTCAGCGTTTACTTTGTGTTATAAGATATAAAACATATACTTTTGTTTTGAGATTTTCATAATGTCAACGCCAAAAGTGTTGACATTTTTTATAGCCATCATTTTTTGTGACCAACATTTAGCATGCATTTGCAACAAGTTGTTACATTTTTCTTATTTCAATAAGGTGCTGACACATGTTGATGTCTTTGTTTGTTTGATGTCATTTTGTGTATGGCTGACACACGTTGATGTTTTTGTTTGTTTGATGTCATTTTGTGTATGGCTGACACACGTTGATGTTTTTGTTTGTTTGATGTCATTTTGTGTATGGCTGAGAGCCAGCAAAGAGAAAATCAGTCATGCATGTATTATTTTTTGTTTTTATGTCACAACCAGAAGTGGTGACTTATTGTTATGGTCTCCAATTTTTTGTTGAAGGTTTTGACATCTGAAACAATTAGGGCATCTGTAACAAATGGCAGGTGGTGACATTTTGTGTGTTATTGCCTTGTTATTGTTATTATATGATACATTTGTTAAGACTGAAATGTCATTCAAAGTTTTTTGGTAAAATTGTATTTATTTACAAGGTGTTGAAAATGTTAACAGATTATGTACTTTGTTCATATTACATACAATCAAGTGATTTGATTTCATCAGATTTTGGCACATTTTGCTGAAAATCTCTGTTACGTTCAAGGAGGTCATTAAAGTATTATTATTTAATCTAAATTCTGACCTTTAAAACTATTTATAGAAGCTGTAGTTTGATATCCAGAAATATATTAAAAATTCTATGACCTTTTAAATTGTACAAAATTGCTAATTATCAGTTTGTAAAAGGAATTGTTTGGAGTTTTTTTAAGAGGAACAAACACTATTGAAGAAGAGAAATTAAAGTGCTTGTATTCTTCATGGTCAGCATGTCATCATGAAAATCAAACTATTATTATAATTTGTAAGAAGTATATATTTGTTTTTACTGTTTGTATCAATTTTATGCAACTGGAATTTTCTTCAATGGTTAACTTTCTAAATCAAGAATTTCTCCATCGAGAACTTCATCCTCATCCTCCTTGGTTTTAGACAATTTCTCCAATGGAAGAATTTCCTCAACATATAATTTTCTTAATGGAAAATTCAAATGAATAATAATTTCCTTCAATGGGAAATGGTACAATGACAATATTTCTTTAATGTTTTTTTTGGGTGGAGTATTTTTCAAAGGAGAAGCCTCTACTCCTTGTCTTTATGTAAGCAAGTTGTATCAGAGTAAAATAAAACCTGTTTAGACTGGAACCTTGAAAGAAATGTTCCATTTGTGAGGTGTTTCACTAAATGGAGCCTCATTTAAACGTTAAGTCAATTGGACTGAAGTGTTCCACTTACAGAGGTGTTTTACTTCTAGAGGTGTTCCACTTCACAGGTCATTGTATGTCTCTGTTTAATTTCAAACTGTATTTTTTGTTCTCTGTCTAAGAGCAGACCATAGCCATTTAATCTTAGGGGATGCAATATTTAATCCTGGGGGATGCAGTATTTAATTATGGGAGATGCAATTAATCCCGGGGGATGCAATATTTAATTCTGGGGAATGTAATATTTAATCCTGGGGAATGCAATATTTAATCCCGGGGGATGCAATGCTTAATCCTGGGGAATGTAATATTTAATCCTGAGGGATGCAATATTTAATCCTGGGGGATGCAGTATTTAATCCCAGGGGATGCAATATTTAATTCAGGGGGATGCAATATTTAATCCTGGGGATGCAATATTTAATCCTGGGGAATCCAATATATTATCCTGAGGAATGCAATATTTAATCCCGGGGATGCAATATTTAATCCTTGGGATGCAATATTTAATCCTGGGGGATGTAATTTGCAATTTCCAAAGCTAAAAAGGAATTCTGGGCCTAATTATGAAAGTAAATATTGTTTGCACATGTTGAATTGTTTTAGTATTTAGTTCATGCTGAAAAATGTATATTTCATGAGAGGAAGAATCATCTCTGGTGCCAGGTACAATATTTTTATTGAAGGTAAAACCATTGCTAGCCCTGAGTTGTTATGTACAAACATATTCAAAGAGTTGTGAATATTCTTCAGTTTGTTCTAGTCATGTAAATAGTAAATACACTCAACTATATTCTAGCATATATAGAAAAACAACATTAAAATGTTACATATATTTAAAAACTTTTTTAGTTCTGATACTGTTTTTTCAGTACTTTGTAAGACTGTAAGCCTCATATGTAGGGCGACATTTAAGTTCGTTTTATACAATAATTTTATTATGTCACCACCAAAAAGTGGTGACATATTGTTATGGTGGTCTCCGTTTTTTACGGTGATCGGCGGTTGGTGATCGGTGGTTGGCGATCGACGGTGGCGTCTGTAACAAATGGTGGTGACATTTTGCATGTTAATGCCTTGTTGTCTGATGTTTTTCATTTTTTTTTTAATTTGGTAACATTTATATTAATTATGTGTTTATGTTTTGATGAGTCCCCAGTAAAAGTACATGTAGATATAATGTACACAAATACAAATTATGAATAAATGATGTAAGAATGTTGGTGTACATGCATTTATAGCTGCTCATTATTGATCATTATTATGTCACCACCAAGTGTGTCATGGATGGTGTTCAGGGGTTGGCGTTCGGTGCCTGTAACAAATGGCAGGTTCTGACATTTTGCACGTTAATGCCTTTCTATGAATTGTAACGAGACCATCAAGTGAGCAATAGTTTTTACAGATATAATTTATTCATTTAGTTTTTGCCTTTTGCCGTATGGATGAATTATGGTCTTGGGAGATGTAATACTCAAGGATCCTACGAAATCATTCTTTTTCATTCAAACAATATTTTGTGACTGATTATATTTTCGAATTCTCAGCACCATAAGATTACCTTTCGCATTCGTTCGACTTCACTTCTTAAAAGAGAGCTTCATCTTCGGTAGTTTATAATTAGACTCTGCGCGCAGGGTACCATATGATTGATGTCCAATGACTCACCTGTACATGGATGACTGTTATCATTACACACAGGAATTATAAGGAGATCCACCACAGATTTCATTCGAGGCACATTTTTAAATCATTTGTTTTTTTTAATTCAAATTTTTTAAATAAGTCCGGAGACAATACATTTTAAATGTCTGAAGAACGAGGGATCATCAAATATCAGACTAGGAAAGTAAATAACTCCAAATTTTATGTTGTGATATGTCAAGTGTTTTATTTAGCCCTATCATGAATTACATTTTGAAGTTTTAAAGTGCCCGATAAACTATAAAATGCGCATGCGTCCAGGTGTTGATAAACTATAAATAGCGAAAATCCAGGGTTTGTCACCACAAGGTAAGCCAGGACGTGTTGAGAGAACAGCTAGTGTTGATATTGAATTTACATGTAGCCAGATAAGTTTCCTTATTGAAATTACATATGGTTATTAGCAATACTTTGGAGGTGCTAAATAATAAAATATTTAGAGTATATATGAGAGAAATTGGTCATTTCGAACCTGTTGAAAAGTTTGTGGCTCTCGGCTACACCGGTGAATTTACTTCCATGAGTACACACATAAATGTGGGGTTCCCCAAGAGGTACGCGACAAGGTGACCTGGCATCAAATGTGCGACTAAATGCTACTATCGAGAAGATAAAATAACGAATACGACAATAAGTTATTGCATGTGACAATTCCGAGCCTTCATCTCACTGAAGTATTTTGAAGTGAAAATGGGATTTTTGTTTTGATACATGGATTCAGAGGAACGTAACTTTATTCTGATAACTAATCAAAACTGAACAAAATTGATTGTACGTAACAGACAATTTATTGTTTTACAATGTTTTGATTGGCTAAACGAATGAAACCAACAAATTATGACATGTAAAATGACAATTTTGAAATGTAAAATTTAAAAGTGACAAACACAACCTCCCTATCCACTCTTTGGGAGCCCTAGTAAATTAGTAATATGTACATGCAGCAGTGGTAGTGTACAGCTTATTATCACACTACGCTTTGTATTCTAAAGCCTGTTGTTTGTAATAACACTGTTCACTCAACGTATGTTTTGTGTGTGGGCAGTCAACGAAAATCATTGTTTTATCCCGGTTATATGACCTCGGCAATTATAACAAAACCGTACTAAACGAAAAAACGCAAATAAGAGAAAGCTTTCACACACATATAAAAAATGAACTAGTCTAATCCGCCAGTATAAACTCTGTGCTATACGTAGCCGGGTCAGGCGCACACTTTAAACACATTTTGGTGCTTTTACCTATTTCAACTTATATCGTCACGGTGACATGAAGGCGAAAATACAACTCTTCATTTGTATCCAGTGATCTCATGGAGTGACATTTAATGTCACTATGTTCCTAAGTTCCAAAGTACATGTACTCGTTTGAGATAAAACTTTTTATCCCACCAAATATATTTTGTGAGAGTTGTCGAGGAGCCGTTCGTCCATCCTTCCGTCTGTCCAGGCGATTACAAAGTTACCGGTTGATGTATTTGGTTTAACTTTTATATGTTGATGTCTTTGAAGCAAAAGACCTACACAAGAATGAGTATGGTAACAGGGAATATAATTCTGATAATTCAATAACAAAAACTGAAATATTTGTTTCATACAAAAGATTAGTTTTATTGAAATATTACATTAGGAAAATATAATAGTTTGTTGTAAGGCTCTGCTGAGTGAGTAATAATTACTGAAAAATGATGTTCCAAATTATACTGTGATATTACACAAGCTTATGCTCTTAGCTTGCAATAATGCGATAGTTGATTGTGAATCACAATTGTTTTTCAAAATATTAAGAGCACGTACTGCATGAACAAAAGTGAAAAGTCGTGTATCTTCATGTGCACTCAAAGGCATTCGATCAGGCGCGAGTGTTGTTACGAAGCTGATTTTGTTGTGATAAACCTTCCTCCACAAAATGTTGATTTCTACGAGTCAAATTTCAACATTTTCACTTTGCTATTTTGGTAAACTTTATTCAAATCAATTCTCAAAGGAAATTCGTTCATTTACATCTGTTGACAACTGGACATCATCCATTGGACATCGTATCATGTATTTTAAATCCTTTAAACTTCCACGGCATCTTTCAGGCTTTTTCGTTCATTTTTTGCGATTATCTTATCCTTGTATTCGGATGCTGGTGTAACGATGACCCCCTCCGGTTCCATGGCATCATAAATGTCGTACATGACTCGATGATAATCCCCGGGACGGGTAAAGCAACATTTAAACCGATACCGACATTTAAAGATAATGAATCCTACTATAGCAACAAGTGCTACGATTGATATGACTACAATACTTGTGATCATCCCGCCCATGTAGGCGGTGATTGGGGCAACTGGGCAAATAAAGTCCTCACTCTCCAAGGACTGTACCAATTGTCCTAGTAGCCTCTTCGGTGCGTCGCATCTGGAATGATAAAAAGAAATGTAACATGATCAAATGAAATATGCTTACAATAATAATTTTGAAATTAAGTACTAATTTCATGTTTATGCGAATGTGGTTGGGGAAGAGGTAAGGAGATTGGTATGGGGGGGGGGGGGGCGCGGGGGTTGGGACCATTGTTTTGATCCAAAATTAATCCAGAGTAAATCAACTTACTTAAGATCGTATTGGAAATGACTCTGGTCATCTGGGAGAGACTCAATCATCCATTCAATATTGCAATCACAATTCCATGGATTCGCTCCCACTTGTATCTCGTGCATTGAGTTCCAATTCAGCAATGTCTTGTCAAGAGTACGCAATGAATTATTCCGGAGGTCAATGGTTGACATTGCCGAGTCCTTACTTGGAGTAACATTGAACGCACTTGGATGGATATTGGATAGTTTGGGGTTATTGGCAATAAATGCCCGTTGGAGGTTTTTAAGTTGTGCGAATGAACCGTTTTTGATCGTGGATAGCACTGGCATATTGTTTATGAATAGGTCTTCAAGAGAAGGTATCGGAACAGCTCCCGTGGTTATTTCTTTTATCGGATTGGTGTCTAGGTCCAGTATAACCAGACTTGATAGATACTTCAAGTTGTCTGTAGGGACAGTTGTCAATCTATTCTCGCGTAAATCAAGAAATGTTAACTTTTGAAGCTCGCTGAAAGCATCCTCTTCAATAACTGACAGTTTATTAGTTCCAATGTCGAAGAATTGAAGATCTCTCAAGTCATACATATCCCCTTTGCCTATCATCGTGATTTGGTTACTCGAGCAATTTAACGTTTGTAGCTTTTTGAGTCCTTTAAATATGTGAGTGATATCATCGAGATGATTATCGTTCAGATATAATGTTGTCAACTGGTGAATATCAGTAAATGCATTTGGGCTTATATGTTGTAAGTCATTGTAGCTTAAGTCTAAAGTTTGGAGACTGGTTAAATATTCGAACTGAAATGAGCCATCATTTAATGTTGCTATAGGGTTGTGGCTCAAATTCATGACTACAAGAGCATCAAGCCCCATGAATGTCGCAGATTTAAAATCATCTCCTGTGAGCAAATTATTGTCTAAATATAGATGAGTCAATTTTATTAACTTTTGAAACGGCGATTTCTTCAATGTCATAATCTCGTTTCCCCCCAAGCCCAATATATCTAAGTTTTCTAGGTTTTGGAAACTCTCCTCGGTAAGTTCCCTAATTCTGTTTCCCTCGATATGCAATATGCGGGTACTTATGGGGATATCAGTTGGAATTTCGGTTAGGTTCTGTCCCCTGCAGTCCACATTGTAATGTTGGCAAATGCACCCTTTGGGGCACGCAGTGACAAGTGTTTCCCCGAGCCATGTACACAGCAATAACATCAACCAGTACTTTGATATCTCCATGACTTGATCTGGAAGATAAAATAAAACAATTGATAGCGATGATAAATACTGTTTTGTAGTTTCAAAAATCTGGACAAGAGCCTTTGTCAACGTTCTTGCAAGACTGCCAATATCATTTTGGAGTTCACATCAGATCAATTAATAAAAAATAAATATGATTTCCTTATATTTTTCAGTTCAATTGTAATATAAGGAGAACAATGTGCAGCTAGTCTGCTACACAAGTTCTCCATCGCGTCCATAGACTTCCATTTGCAGAAAGATTTCGTTAATTCTTTTACTTTCTCAAAGCACATTGATATTACATAGTACATTGTTCATAAAATAATACACGGATAATACACTTGATCTCGAACAAAACAACAACAAAAACACGGATCTATATTGTCCTTTGTTTCAGTTTATATTTCAGTTGTCATACTTGTCAAACTTTTATGAGTTGGCACGAATTCGTGTTCTAGGACATTCGTTTAAAATATATTTTCAATACAACTGCTGAGCCTGATAGGTTAACGTAATCCTAACATGATAACAAACACATGTTGTTGAATAGGAGCATTTCAAAATGAAACTTTGGGACTTTGAGCTTCACGTTAACTCGTCTTTTTGTTTTTGGAAATCATAACGAAGTTCGTTTGAAATCAAAGGTTTTCTAGTCAGATACTTTAGTGTACAAAATACCCTAATATAACCCAAGTGCATGTGTCAGTGTGTCATACGGTGGAACACAAATTAGAAATTGATAAAGTTTTTCATGGAGTTCTATTTCCTATTCCAAACCTTAAACTTCCACGGCGATCATTACATCTATTGTAATATTGCATTGTATTATTATATTGAATCGTAAAAATATATGCCTGTGGTCCTGGGCTGTGGTCTCCGTATGAATATTGGTTGGCACATTTTAAATGACGGAAATATGGGAGACTTAATTAATTCACAACACATCCGTGTGTACAAATCATCAATGGTTCTTCAAAAAACATAAATTGTATGCTTTCTATAGAGAAACCTGTAAATACTTGTTTTTAATAATCTTGTGCATGAACTTTTTTAAAGCTCATAAATTCAATTAAAATTGTCACCGAGGTCGGTGTAGTTATTTATGATAACGTTTGCTACTCTAAAGTCCAATTTCGAAGCTAATTGTAGAATTTTATGACTCAGATTGTCCTTAAATTATATCCCAATTTTCTTTCGACAGGCTGTCGGTGCCTTGTTCTTTAAGTGATGGTTGATGGAGACGTAAAGAGGGTGGGGGGGTATCATATGTGCACCACAACGAGCTTACTCAATAAGGGGGAAAACCAGGGTATAGTAAAGAGGTGAAGGTGGGTGTTCTTCAGGTTGAACCGATTTCCAAAGAGAAGATTTATAAGTAGCCAATTAGCCCCCATGTCGTTGAACTATTTTATACTTTTATAAGCTGTGACTTTCCACCGAGACCCCTGTCACCCATCCGTGTTTGCTGTTTGTTTGTTTGATTGTTTGTTTGTTTGTTTGATTGTTTGTTTGTTTATGAGGCCATATAAAGGCAACGTTTAAGTAGCCACATGAGCTATCATCAGCTAATATTGATGATCAACAATCATTCTCCAATAGTATTGTATACAAGGAGCTCATGTATAGGGCAGTGTGGCAATATTGATGAGGTGATAATTGATACTTAATTATTACAAAAAATACTGCCATATATAACATATATATACGAACAGACTTTAGAATATGGGCGATATAAGAATATCCACATTTAATCTAATAATATCTGGTAGCATAATATCCACATATTTTGAAATTTCATTTATATTAACATTTAACAGGTTTAGATATTAATGTTGCTAGATTTCCCTGGAATAATGAATTTAGGAAAAGATCGAGAAAATGGGCATTCCACTGAATGAGTTGATAACGATTCTAAAAAACTGAAATGTGTAGTTACATCGAAAAACCAATTGTATGAAAGACTCCCGTGGCAGTGCTTGTCTCCAACATATTCCGAGACAATGCATGGGGGTTTGAAAGACCCGTTACTTTGATTTGACAAAAAATCTATGACTACCTTTTAAGAGTTTTCTACAGGGTTCAAACGACTATTTACTTTACGAAAACTACGTGTAAATACAAAACAATACTTTACCTTTCTATATATCCAGTAAGTTGACAATCACGACATCATTTTCAAAAATAAACCTTTTTTTAACTTGCACGTTTGAGTGTAACTGTGTCTTTCATAAGTTCATAAATCACACATTTGATATGACGCCATTTTCTAAATCTGTTTCATTGTACATTTCATCCTAGACTCTACTCGACTTGTGTCCAAAGTTATCCTGTTATCTTTCATCTGAGGCACTTTGACCAAATGTTGTTGACAAATCTGATATCGTTCTAACTTGTAAATGTAGTTTTCAAGTACTCTGTATTCCGTTTTGTCAATTATTAATTCGCCTTATTATCACGTTTCTGATATATGTTTTCAGTTTAGAGAGTTGTTTATCTTATTTGTCATCATATTCACGATATTACAATATTCTTTGAGTCGCAATGAGTCATTTCTTTATGGAAGGATTTTTTAAAGTGGTGGGCAGACATACAATAGACACTAACCACACAGTGCAGTTACATGTAATATAACTTAAATACGGCGTTGATGATTAAATTTCCGTTTTAATTCTCAAAGTATATAGTGACGCTGTAGTCAGTCACAGAGAGTCATACTCACCTACAGGTCAAAATGACATTGAACAATGCTAGATATATACAACTAAGATATATCTATACAAACAGAAACCTTATTCAAATATTTAACTACTTTTGATAACCTGTTCACTGTTCCATTTTTGTTTTAAAGTAATAACAACTAAGATAAGCGCTAATCTTACCTATACATCGGGTCGACTTTAAGAAGTACAAATCAAATACCTTGAATATCTGTACCTTAAAGATTGGATGAATAAAAGACATCGAAACGATTTTCAAATTATATAGGAAAAGTCAAACAGCGATATGACTCTAAGATTACAACCGGTATTGGAAGTATTTTTGTTGTGGTTCATCAGATCACATACAGGTAATATACTGATAGCTTCTCAATTTATTTTCAATTTAAGATAAGAGTTATGGAGTTTTGGGCACGATGTTTGTATCAGATCCCAGCTTGTATTTTTCTTACTTAAAAACATTTAATCATGGAATTCTTCATGCTGAAAATGTGAAACAGAACTAATCTTGAAAGGGTTTTTACACAGGTGCGTGTAGGTCACAATAACGAAGGTGACATTTCAGTTCAGCGCTATAAAAACGGAACTATTAAATATAGAATCGGGTGCTTCATATTGAAGAAATGCAGTTCAAGTGCTGATCGAGACAAAATTATATTAGACGCGATATAGAACGTAAAAAGTTTAAATAGAATACGTCGAAAAGAATTGCAATTTTTGTGATGAAGTTCTAAACCTAACCTAGGATGAAGGTCTTTTCTTCATCCTAGACCTAACGAATCGAAATTGAAGATTTGAATGCAATATTCACGAGAACTAAATCACCGACACCCCCCGTTTTTAATTCCTATGCTAATGGTATTTTTAATGGTGGTGGTGGTGGTGGGGGGGGGGTGTTGACTTACTCCCGGTGTTAACGGTGTTAACATCCGAGCAAAAATTCTATTAAATTCATCAATTGCTATATGCGTTATGGCAGACATTTCTTCTCCATAGAACATATCTATCTCAAAATAAATTAGTTTATGAACTAAAAATGAATTTTCTTTATCATGTGAAACGTTCAACATTCTTCGACAAGGACAAGAGTTATTAACATATCATTTACCATTTTACCATTACCATTTGCCATACCATTGGGGTTCTTTCCGTCTTGTAGAATATAACTCATATCCATTCAAGACAAAATTGTTAAATCAAATTTCTCAAAATCATTTTCATTTTTTAGTTACTGGTGATGTATGTCCAACTGGCGACTATGTTTTGGTACGACACAATGATCACATTAATGACAGAGATAGGCAGATTCGTCCGAATTGCCAGAACTTACCTCTGGGGATACTGACAGAGCACCTTCTTCATTCCCCAGAGCAATGTTTCAACCTCGCCTGTAAGGTCAACGCCAATGTCATATATTACGATCCAAAGATCGAGTGTGCGGCGTATCAATGTGAAGCGGATCCTAACAGATTAGACTGGACGTACAATTGGACAAGTGAATCAGCAAGCTATTCAGGGAAGACATTTGCGCGACCACACGAAAGTGTACAATCTTGCCACAATTCATACTTTATGCAGAGAACATGGAACAGCAATGTCCAGGCGACGTGTTTCATTATTTCAAATGATACTGCTGTCGATAACTTAGGAAAATGCGCGGAAAGGTCGTGCGAGGACAAAGCGAATGCTTTCAATTTCATCGTCCAATCTAAAACTATGTTTTGTGAAACACTGCATTGTAAGTGGAATGTCACAGTCAACGATTATTCGTTTAATCTAAGGCCAAACATAAATGGTAATTCAGAGGTGCATAGTCTTTCTCATACAATAAAACCTTGTATGAACTTACTCCAGACTGATTCAGTTAATTTTTCAGTACTTATACCTAATGATCAGCAGTGTGGATTTCCGGGACACTTTAAGCGGAACCTGTCACACTCAACAGACAAGGAAATATCGAATTTCTTCTGCGAATCGGGATCAAATACTTTTATACATGTAAGCCACAAAGATCTTGATGACAAATACCTTGCCTATAAGTGTAGTAGCAACCATGAAGGAACATCTTGGGATTTCTTTGCGGACAATGCACGGTACGGCGACAACGTGACTTCGGAATGGTGGATTGCTCCTTATCCCGGTACCCCAAACTGTCAATCTGATATTTTTAAGCTGATGCGAATGAAGGCATCTCATCAGATGTCTAATTGTGACCCACGTGGGTCCATGAAGGTCTTATCTGCCAGAGATTTACGACAATGTATGCTGTATGCATGTGAGAAGGGGTACAATGTCATCAACTTTTTCAGTAACGACGACTTTGTTGATTGTGAGCTGAGAAATTGTGGCAAATATAAGGGTGGTGACTATGCGTTTCAATATAGTGCAACTGGTGGAACATATGGATATGATGTCTATGCATTACATCCAGACTATAGCATCCGCAATATCACTGATAATCCAACAACAATTGCTCCTGCTCTAGCAATGAATCAAACATGTAATGCACTATGTATTGTATTTGCTGTTTTGTTTTTTGGAATAACCATAATTTCCATAATCGTGGCTGGATTGTATTTATGGAAAAGAAAGGCTGAAAAGAACAACAACAATAAACAGGGGGAATCTTATGAAATGGTTCCCCAAAATTAAGAAAATCGAGAAAATAAAAGCAATTCATTTCATATGTGCTAATAAGTTGTTTTGCTTGGCATATTCGATTTCATAATCATGGACTCTTTACGGAAGAGAAACGATGAAAAAGCAACAATTAATCGAATACATGGAAACATAATTTTTTAAATGTTTTCTTAATATTTCTCACGAGATTCTATTCACGATTAGATATTTCAATCATTTTCAGATTTTTTGATAGCAAAGGACAAAGAATGCCATATTTGATCAAATATCATAGAGAAAATAAATAATAAATATTCTTTCATTGTCACCAGAGCCATCTTTGTTGAGAAGTATTAATGAAATAGCAGCGAGTGTATTTACTTCCTTTTAGTTCAGCAAATATGCTTCTTTCAAAGGTTTTTTGAATATGCTCTCACGACATCTTTTTTGATATAATTTTCGAAAAACTTCGATTGAGTGGTACGGTTTACTCCCAACTCTTTCTAGTGTATTGATTGTTTCAAATTCAAATATAAAGTCATATGCTTTTGATTTCAATACCATTTTAAAATTTTATGTATGAAAGAGGATATGATGTTTTCTCGTGGTACATAGGGGTTTGTCCTCAAAATCCACGTTTTTCATGACCAATCAGACGATTACCATGTTTCCCCACTTTGAGTAGTTGAAACTGGAATGTATGAGAGCATTTTATTCTAAAATTACTCCCAAGTTTTGCTATTAATTCACTATAAAGCTTTTCAATATTTCGATTTTAGACCAAATCAACCATTTGAAATCGTTTGCCTCATTCTACGTGCCTCTTTGTAATATGATTAGAACATGTCAGATATTGAGATTGGTGCCCTTACAAGAGAAAGATGAATTACAAAAATATATATCATAACAACAAATACATAAATTTATCCTTAGAATGGGCCATCGTAACATTATATTTGGTTTCATTATTTACCTCTCTAGAACTTTGAACCTATCTACACACATTTGCAACGTTTGAAGACATCGCTACCTTTTTACGACCTTGCATTGTGCGCGCACCTACTTGAGGTAGGGGTGTACCATAGACCTAGAAAAAAAGATAATCGAACTTAAAATTCTTCAATATCAATAGATTCTACAGGGCGTCAAATAAGTCTGTTCTCCCCTTTTACTTGTTAATTTTATTTTGTTAAAGTTATCATACTTTCTTGTCACTAATAATGAACTCTTCCTAAAATTGCTGCAATGTTTCCTGAAAGGATGTAGTTGATTATTTATTACGTCAAAAGAGTAAAATTAAAAGTAAAATAAAGAGTAAAATGTGTATCATTGTAGAATTGAGGCTCTCCAAGCTGCTTGAGGGAAGCATCCGAACTATTAAAAATCTGAAATATGAACATCATTAAAAATGCTCTTAAAAATTGGGAATTCAACCTATGTCTCTGAAATTTGTTGTGTGATAAGCAAAGATTCCCCTTGATATATAATAATTTCTATGATTTATAAGAAATTTCTAAATGTAAAAAGTTAAGGGGAGAACAGACTTATTTGACGCTATGTAGATAACCTTTTGTCCCTCATTGAGATTTCTCACGTATCTTACTTGAAAAAGTTTATATTCAGTTTCGTTTTGTATTTTTTTCATAGGTCTATAAAACTTTTTATTCCATAATACTACTGTTACGTTTTCCCAGGGAAATATGAAGGAATAAAAATCGTATTGAATCGTATTACATGAAAAAATCGTATTGTTCCCGGGAAAAATCGTATTGGAGCGTATTACATGAAAAAATCGTAATGTCCTCGGGAAAAAATCGTATTGGAACGTATTAACCTATTTTTGGTGTTCTTGTTATTTTTAACCTTAGCTAATTGATAAAAGCATTTTCAAAATGTAACATTTTAGAGGAATGTATTATGGAATAAATAGGTTATTTCTGGTCGGGATTAAATATGGGTTTCATTCCTCGGAAAATATTATATTGACCTTGGGAAATATGATATTGACACTCGGTCGCTGCGCTCCCTCGGTCAATATCATATTACCCTTCGGTCAATATCATATTGTCCCTCGGAATAAAACCCATATTCAATCCCTCCCAGTAAATAACCTATATACCGTCGCACTCGAGGTATTAACCAATTAATACATACAATAATAATTTCAAAGTTTTCAAAGGCTACAAATTAATTTCATTATGTCCATTTCGCTTTTGATTACATAGTAATATTTATCAGAAGGTTTCCCTCAAATTACTATTTAAAGGAAGAGGTGTGTTTTTTGGCAAATACCCCTATGGTCAAAATGAATCATTCTTAGGTGTAGCATGAAGAAAAGAATGTCATAAAATTCTTTGAAAAGTATTAAAGTGCTTTGGCACACATTGGCTGAGATAAGGGCCATTTGGTTCACTAAGGTTGTATTGACTTACATGGGGCTGTGTATCATTGACTTAACATAAGGATATCAGCAGATCCCAATAGAGGCCAGTGGTTTCCATTGATTATCACAAAAATACCAAAAATACACTATGACCTGAATCGATTGCAAACTTAATATTTTCACAATATGACACAAATGGTTTATCTCATCAAATGTGCAAATATGAAGTTTGCAATCGATTCAGGTCATACTTAAAATTAAAAGATTGTACATTTTTTCATCATTTTTTCCCTACAAAATGGCTATAGAAAAATGCTCCAAAACAACTTTTACATTTATAAAAAATTATACAACTTTGTAAAACTAAAGAATATTACCATTATATTTCATTATGTAGTGACATATTCGGATAAGATGTAGGGATGTGTAGGATGCAAATGGATTTTGACAGACACAAAAATACTTCCTGGTTTGGAATCTATGCCTCTACACTTCATGATTGAATTATGACCCTAATAAGTGGCCTGTACATCAAACAGTGCTGTATGTAGGTCAACAAGATACTAGTGTGCATATGAATGTAATAATTAAAGCAGAATACTCATTTTGAAAAATCAGATGAATTTTTTTTTTTCTCATGGGGAGACCCCAATGGAGAGTGCATATGGTCCTTTATCAAAATCCAAGTTTGATTTACAAATTGGTAATTCCAATGACATATCATTCTTGATATATTTCTATGAACGCTTTGTTCTGTGGTCATTCTATTCAATATAGAAGGCGGACCAGAAGCGTTTTAAATTTAATTGTTCATTTCGCTTTAATTAACCACCTTAACACAAAAGTAGTAAATCTGATCAGGTATAAAGAATAATGACACGAACAGTAGATGTGTCAGTTGCTGGCATACTTTTGCCGGAATGTTGCAAGTAACTTTGACAATACAATATGTTAAGAGTAACATGGTACTGTAGGTGTAAGAAAACATAATGTTATGGGCTGGGTTATAGCCCGATATCTGTACTCTCAGACATGCAATCAATAGGAACAAAACATGCAATTTTAGTCATTTTCAAGTCTCACCCATTTTATATTTGTAGCTTCCAGCAAAAGAATACAGCTTAAATTTTTTTCCTAAAAACTAGGCCAAGCTTTATTTGTTACTACAACTATAATAATGATAATGTGCTACTATTTATAATTTTTGATTTGACTTCATAGTACCATACACCTGGAAAGTGGGCGTGGTCAATGTTACAATTCTGCAACATGCAGTCAAAAACTTTTACCTATAGAAAGCAAATCAGTGGATTTAAAACATCTTCAATTTTTACGTATACTTGACAATGTATAATTCATTTATAAGTACTAGAACATAGAACCATGGGCTTTCAATTATCTAGTTGAAAACCCATGATAGAACTCTACATATTTAGGCTTTACATATTGTTTTCAATTTAGTACAATGTATCATAATGAAATCTAATGGTGTTTCATTTTGAACTTCTTCTCGGATAATGACAAAATCATCTTCTATATAACCAATGGCCACCAAAAGATTTAGCCCGATTGGTTGACGTTTAGACCCCCGCCTTACCGCAACTTGTTTTGTATGGGGTCCACCACAATGCAAAAAGTCCATTTTCAGTGTTCACTAGCACATGAAATGTAAGTCACAATGTTTCCAAATTACTTTGGCAACACGGTGACCAAGTATAAACAGTGGAAATTGTCCTGGTGTGAAAGAAATGATGGTCCTCCAGGGATTATGGTACCCTTTCTTAACGGCCCTTACTGGCCCTGATTGCGTATAAGATAATAAGGGAAAGAGTTGTATTTAGGTCACCATATAAAACAAAGGAGAGTAGGACCATAATTTGATAGGACCTCCTACCCTTTTACACCGGGCGTGTTTTTTCAAAATCTTTAGACGTGTTTTGTAAGAACATGGGATGCGACATTCGTCAGAATGGAACAAAAAGGTAATGATATTCTATATTTTACAAAATTGCCTAACTTAATTACTTCTACCTAAGACTACCTTCTTCATATCCACGAATTAATCGATTTTGGGGATAATTTCATCATACTTCATATTAATCGGTCAATTCAAGGAGGATTGGCTCCCAGAGTGCACCACCGATATTCTGTCCCATATATGGGTATGTCGTAATACAAAATTCGAATTCAAACAGCCGCCATTTTGTTCACTTCAACATTTAAATCGTGAATTTTGGTCTTATTTCCAAACGAAAAATTCCAAAACTCACAAGAAACGATCGAGATATTGGTTCGAATCTTTTGAACTGTTTATTTTGAATTTATAGTCGGTTTTAATTTCAGAAAATAACGACATTTCGACGTTTTCATTGTTGGAAAATATCGAGTTTCGATCCTGGGAGCCAATCCTCCTTGGGTCAATTTGACCTTTTTCCATATAAATGAAAAATAGATGGCATCATGGGTATTGGTAGGGCTAGGGTCGGGCTACAATACATGTAAATGTATTACCAGAGTGACCCATTTTATTGAATTAAGAAGTAATTCCATTTTGATCAACTTAAAACACCATTGGAATATAACTATATGATCTTATTGACAATGTATTATTACACATTAAAATTGTGATCCTTGTAAGAGTAAATGAACTTTTAAAGGTTTTTCAGCATCGTATCAATGGGAATTTAGCCCGACCTTTTTTAGACAACTAGAATATCATTAGAATTTGAATAAAGGTAAATAATGGTGCAAATCAAAGTTGTTTTGATAGAAAATTACACACAGAATTAAAATATGCCATTAAATAGAAGAAAATGTTAGTCTTTAATGGTTAAAAACGCAGATCTCCTAAAATCTCATTAAAAACGAGACTTCAACAAGATTTCAAAGCTCTATGGAAAAAGGACCAAGTTTAAACGGACAATCCATTCGTGGAATAATATTCACTACTCTAAAGATCGTGTTAATATTTTAACTATCTTTATCTTAAGATTGCAATAAATGACCAAAAATATAGAAAGTGGAGTTAATGATGGAAAAAGACAATATAACGTCATGGACGTGTCTTGTAATAACCTTGTTAACGATTGGGAATCGTACAGATAACGCTTTAGACGTGATAAAATTAACAACTTTGAATTGTCTTGTAATAGTGTTCACATTTCACATGTTTTGTTGCTTAATAATTTGTCTGTGCTTCTGAAAATAATCGCATTAGTATTTTGTAGATGAGTGCTTGTAATACATCACAATATTTTTTTTATTTCAGTTCCCCGGAAAGTGTCAGATGTGCGCTTTAAAAAAGCACACGTTCCTTGAACATTATGAGAAGGTACGTCCAACTGATATATTCACAATAGACGTCCCTATCCACTATCAAGGAATATGGGGATATAAGACTATCGATTATGGGTTTCGGATGTGCAAGAAATTTGGTTTGGAAAGTTGTTTTGTGAAAAACAATTGTGTTTTTCAGATTTTGTTTGATTTTTCAAATGCGAGCCAAATTGTTCCTCGTATGAGCCAAGCCAATTCAACAAAATTGTGTGGAATATTTAGGTAATTTATGATTACCATTACCATTTAAAACATTTTATTACCAGAATTTGGAATATATGAACATTCCTTTACCTCTAGATATAAATCTCACCTATTTGTTATTGTATTATGTTTTGTAAAAATGAACAATAATTTGTTGTTTGACCCCTTGCGCCCCAAGGACCGCAGTTACCAAATACCTTACTCACTTCGAGAGCCATGGATGGAGGAGGGGGGGGGGGGTTATATGTCTTTACGATGGAGCAAATTCACAAGAACTCGTGTGTTTAAAAAAAACAACTAAGTACCCCAGTAAGAAACTGGATATTATATCTCTGGAGGATGAAAAATTGGAAAATTTGGAGTCAAAAGAATAAATTCAAGTAGCATGTCCTATCATGTCTTATATACACGTGATCCCCCCTCCATTCGATCCCCCCTCAATCCGATATTAATTTATTTTGATTATTTTTTGTATAACGCTTAGAAACTAACTTTAAAAAGTGAGCAATGTCATTAGTATTGTGATAATAACGTCCCTTATACCTATTTATAACAGGTCGTGTAGACCATTGTTGCCCGATTTATAGTAAAAACATTGACTTTTGCACGTTGGTGATGATGCTTCTTTCTTAAAAGATCTCATATCTTAGAGGGGTATCAGTTAAAAAAAAATACTAAATGATCTAACATATTTTGCCATGCACTGCTATGGCATTATTTTTGCTTCTTTATTCATTAAATTCAAATACATTCGCTAAATCCATTTTCCATTCGGTAAAAACGTTTATATATTTGTTACAGCAAATTAAATTTTCAAAATAGCCAATGGATTAAATCACGTAATATTATGTGCATTAAATTACATATTTTATTCGCTAAATGATATGTTTTTTTGTGTAAATTGTTATGGTATTCCTTGAGAGTAACACATTATATGCACAATATTGAATTTCTATTTGAACACTACCGATATAAGTTTGTCTATATTTACCAAATGGTTTATTTTGCAAAATGGCCGCTCAGCTATTCTACATCGTTCAAATATATCACGTGACTGAAAGTCTCGTAAAGTATCGAAAAATAACGAAATTTATCGAATGTGGCATTCGGTATTAACCGAATATAAATAATCTAAATACAGAATGTACAAATAATTAATTGAGTTATACGTGCGTTAAAAACAAATTGATTCGCTGTATCGCACAAATACATGTATAAATATCAAATGTAAATGCCAAAGTGTAATCATTTAGCGAATATAAATTGTATAGATTATTATATTCGATAAAATAAGAAGCATTCGATAAATTGGGTAAAGGTTTGGCAAATTGTTTGTTTTATTTGGTATGTATGGAATATTTAATGGACCGAACAAAGAAGCAGTTTAAACACCATACACTCCGCCTATTCATTTGGCAATGCAGCTGTAAATTTTCTCTTGAAAAAATAAATCTTCCAAATTTGTTGAGTTTTCTTGCAGAAATCGCCTTATCCCCCCTCCATCCCATTTGTACGACCACCGGGCGTGAACACAATGAGCGAGTTAATAAACAACACCATTGTCTCATGGAGTAAATGAACATTCGTTGAATCATGGATTACGCTACTGAAAATAATTATCTTTACATTACAATAGTGCAGTGACAGTCAAGTGGATTAGCCTTCTGATGTTTTGGCAGTTACATATTTATGTCGCTTTCCATAATCCGTATTTATTGCGCATTTGGAAAGTGATCCCAAAGATCCTAACTGTATAGATAGATGGCAGTTGGATAGATAGATGGCAGTTAAAACGCTAACAAAAGTAAACAAAGGCTCCGACGATTATGTCGGTTTACTACTACATTCTGAGTCATAAGTACATTCTAACTGTATAATTCTGAGCATAAATGTGTATGGATTAACGTTTACGATACAATTGTAGCGATATACCTTGATTTATCGCGAATTTTGGACGAAATAAAAACATTCAAGAAATTTTCCTGGATTTGTCAAAGATGGCGACTTTTGATGGAAGTAAGACCTGCCTTGTCGATATGACATGCGGTAGGGGGCTGTGTGCCCTGCTTCTTCAGTACCGGAATGTGACTTGTAGGCGAAGACACACACCTTGGAAAAACGTCGATTACTACTTTTTTCAAGGCCTAACTGCGTCGCTAACATGCTAAATATAAGAGTTAGCTGACGTTTGGGAGTCTGACTTACCTTCTAAAGGTTAGAACCCGAATCTTAATGAAACCACATCACCTTTGTTCCGTCAACCATGGAGCATTTGCCACAGCATCCAAGAGGTAAATCATTGATCGAGAAAATGAATGATTTCCTTGTAAGTTCCGGAAGTTTCAATACGAAAAATTACCGAACATATGTGAAAACCGAATATTTGTTCGTTGTTTTCACGATTTACAGGTTCGTTTGTTCTTCAATGTTTTGGTCTAAATTATAAAGCATCACCAACAGGTCTTACTCTATTAATCGACTAATACAGCAGACGGCTCATATTTCTACGTAGCATTTCATTCAGACCAATAGTGGGAGTGTAGATCACGCAGTTTCGTTCGTTGCGTACTTCACTTGAAATTGGTAATTTTAAATATTGACTACTTCACTTAGCTTGGCGGATGTAGAACATTGCTTAATATTCTTTTAATTTTCACACCAGACATGCTTGGTTGACACGTCAACAAAGTAAAGTTCAAGGGTCAATGCGTTATTTCGTGATAACTACAACGCCTTCCCGGAAGTCAACATTGATGAAAAATGAAAAAGTCGGAAAAGCATTTACGCTAATTTCTATCAAATGCTATGTTTATGCATCATCATCGACGCAACAAAGGTGATATGGTTTCATTAAGATTCGGGTTCTAACCTTTAGAAGGTAAGTCAGACTCCCAAACGTCAGCTAACTCTTATATTTAGCATGTTAGCGACGCAGTTAGGCCTTGAAAAAAGTAGTAATCGACGTTTTTCCAAGGTGTGTGTCTTCGCCTACAAGTCACATTCCGGTACTGAAGAAGCAGGGCACACAGCCCCCTACCGCACCCCAAATGGATTTAACACTGAAATTGATGGATTTAACACAACAAGTGAAAGAGATACGTAAGGAGTTAGCACAAGTAAAGAAAGACTATGAAAGTGATGTTAATAGACTGAACAGAATGGTGAATACACTAAAGATCGAATTAGGTCAACACACATGCGATGTGATAAGCCCTATGTTTTCCAAGCCTAATAGGCTAAGGGCTAATTCTGTTCCGACCAGTTCCACAGTCAACGTAGCCAATTCCCAAACAGCTGTTCGCTCAAAACAACAACAAATAGGTGATACTAACAACAAACCCGAAACTCAAGGTCATTGCAACTCTACCTGTAATACTCAGTGTGCTGACTCAACGCCGACCCCAGGGGCAATGCCCCCTAGTTCGAATACTATATACATTCAGCTTTATACAGCCAAGCACCGTTATTAAGGACACAACTGTGATCGACAAAAACACACGTGAAAACATGAAAACGCCAAAAACTGGAATTAAACCCTCAACGACAGTAGCCATAGGTGATGAATCTAAAGAAGAAACCGATGGGTTCACGTTGGTTGAACGTCGTAGAAAGTCACCTCGCGCCACCGAAAACCGCTTTGGTGAAGAGAGACCAGCGAAAATGCAGACTTTAGGGAAGACCCCGAAGCTCAATAAACCACACGACGTTAAAGAGACGCCTGTTAACAAGCCAATGAAAGGTCTCAAGGGTGCGTCTTTTGAAAGATCGCAATCGCTATACCTCGAAAATATTCAAATGGACGATAATGATACCGATGATGATATTATTGCACTTGTTAAAGAACATGCAAAAAGTAAGGGGATCAAGTTAATGCAAGCATACGTTATCCATAACCGATTCTCGATGTATCGTGTTGGCGTCAGAATGACTGTTCCCGTCTCATCAGCAGATAAGGCTGTTGAAGATGATTCATGGCCTGCCCCGATAAAATGTCGCCAATGGCAGCGCTTCAGGCAGAACGCAAATTATGGTGACAACATTCCCTCCCGGATTACATATAGGTCCAGACGATATCAACATGATAATAACCTTATCGATCGACCGTCATGGGAACGCGATGATGAGAAAACTGATAATGACTATTTTAAAGACGACAATATGTACCACAGGAACATGTGTGACGCAACACGGGAGTATGTACGGGAGAAATTCGGCAATAACCTGGGAGCAACAGGTTCTTACGCTGACTGGTAGATAACTGTTCTTTACTATCGAAACACTGCCCTCATATTTGAGATGCATACCGTGTTTATAGTTTTTTCTCTTTTTAATTATAATTATACTCTTCTCTCAAATGCATGTAACAGATTCAACTGGCAAACAATTGGTTATATCCGCATGGAACGTTAACGGGTTGAATGCATCGAATGTAAGGCTACATATGCTTTGCGAAAATTCGGATATTGTATGTGTAAATGAACATTGGTTATTTGAAGGAAGTCTTAACGAACTACAAAATGTTCATGACAGATTCACTTATACAGCTGCTAGTAGTAAATCCTTGGATCCCTTAGATCAGGGCCATGTTATTGGAAATGGTGGGGTTGCAATACTATGGCGGAAGTCACTTAGTCACTGCATCTTTCCAGTAGTGAAATACAAGACCGATCGAGTGATTGTAATCAAAGTTCTACAGCCCCCCTACAAATGTGTTTATGTCATATGTTGTTATCTGCCCCATGCAAACTGTAAAACGGAAAATTTTCTCGAGGTATTAGATTATCTAGAGAACGTTCTTGAAGAGGTATCATCTCAGAACAGTAACTGTGTTATAATTGGAGACATGAACGCTCACTTTGGCGATAGTGTAGGTACACGTGGTACAGGTGCAATCTCAAATAACGGTAAACTCCTGAATCAAATGTGTAAACGAACTGGTTTGACTCCTATAGATATGTTCCCAATTTGTACGGGACCAACATATACGTTCTTTAGGGATTATACTGGTGAGTCGTACATTGACCATATTCTTGTCACCGGCGGTCTTGTTTCAAAATGCTTAAATGTAAAAGTGTTTGATGAAGATTTAACAAATATGTCAGATCATTTGCCAATTAAAGTAACTCTAAATATTGAAACTCAACCAGCAGCGAGAAAGAACGAGTCTCGTTCTTATAAGTCACGCCCCGCATGGAATAAAGCTACAGATGAGCACTTGAAACAATATAAGCAACTGATGAATGTGAAAATTTCTAGCCTGATACGAGATATGAATAAAAGTGGCAGTATGTCAAACATGGACATTGAACTATTTTTTAATGAATTGTCCGATATAATTAATGATGTAACCTCCCAGTCCTTACCAAAATCAAGGTTCAACAAACATTTAAAACCATATTGGACGGAGACTGTAAAAGAATGCTTGAAACAAAAGAAAATGACGTGGAATAGATGGAAGTTCTATGGAAAATCTAGAGAGCCAGAAAATGCATATTGGAAGGCTTACAAGGACGCAAAAAGAATGTTTAGAAAGGCAATCCGTAGGGCTCAATATGATTTTGAAATTAAGTGTCAAAAGGAAATTGATGACGCTGCAGATTTATCCTTAAACAAGTTTTGGTACTTGATCAAACAACGCAAGGGTAATTCGTGTAAATCCATCGCAATACGAAATGATGAAGGACTAGTGCTCACTGAGCCCGATGAAGTACTAATGGAATGGAAGTCCTATTTTGAGAAGCTAGTGTCCCTCAAGAAAGATACACCATATGACAGCGAATTTGAAAAGATGATTAATAATGAAGTAGATGAAATGAAACGAGACAGTTTTAACAATGACGACGGAGCTTTCACAGAGGCATTAACGTGCAATGAAGTACATCTAATCACATCCAAGTTAAAAAATGGGAAAGCTCCCGGGTGGGATCAAATTACACCGGAGCACATTAAGAATGGGGGAGATTTATTAATCCAAGCTCTAACACGTCTAACAGGATCTTAAGAGGTTCTGGACAAATCATTTGATTCTGGACTTGTCATATTTTTTTTTCAACGAAATCACATCCAAGGGTTGAATTTTTATAAGCTATTTAGAGAGTGAGTCCTGCCTAGTATTAATTTCAATAAAAAAGTTAAAATAGAACCCTATTTGAGAGTCAATCTAATACTTACATTACATTGATAAATTAAGGCAAATCCTGAAATATAGTGCATTTTTTATGAAATATTATCCAGCAAGTTTTAAGATGAAACGGTCTTATTTAAATACAAATCATAACATGATGATATTTTTCATGAAACATTTTTTATTTTTAATTTAGGTGAAAACCCTTACACGATGATGTGTTTTCATAACTTCTTTCATAAAATTCCATCAAGGGGTGAAGATAAAATGATCGAATTTAAGTGATTTAAGGATCACGAGAATATGTTTTCTTGGATATTTTCTATGAAATCCCATCCAATGGTCAAGGTAAAATTTTGATTTTGATTTGGTATTAGGTCACGTGTTCCAAAGATCCATATAAGGCCCATAGAACCATATAGGAACGTCATTTTGAATGTCACGTGATAGATCCATATAAGGCTTTTAGAACCATGTCGGGAAAGATGAGGGGAAGCCCCTGACACCTGTTTCACGATTTTATCCGAACGTTGTTCGGATCATTTCGGTTTTTATGCACTTCATTATTGTACCGAAGTTTGCCGATTCGATTCGTCGTATTTCGGAATCCTGGTGACAATTTTATACTCCATTTGGAGTATTTTTGATCTACTTCTTATGACGAAAATTCCCGAACCTTGTTCGGATTAATCCGGATTTTCTGACCTACTTTATCTTCCGAGATTTCACGAGTTAACATTCGTCTCATTTCGGAATCCTGGTGACAATTTTATACTCCATTGGAGTATTTTTGATCTACTTCTTATGACGAAAATTCCCGAGCCTAGTTCGGATTAAACCGGATTTTCTGACCTACCTTATCTACCGAGATTTAACGAGTTACATTCGTCTCATTTCGGAATCCTGGTGACAATTTTATACTCCATTGATGTATTTTTGATCTACTTTTTCTGGATTTTGCCCTACTTATTATATCTTGACAACAAGCAAATCAAAAAGTTCGACATGAACGGGTCTCGATCAACTAACATAGAGCGTGGAAGCCAGGCACGCTAACCATGAGGCCAACGTGCTACCGATATGAAAGAACAAAAGTATTATATATTTATACCGAGCGTCAATTCAAAATGATCCTCACTTTTGACTCCACTTAAATACGACTCGTCAGTTGTATCCAGAATAGGTGAACGCCTATGGCGCTAGTGAATAACCCAGTCCCAGGTGAGTGGTTCGTATCCCTCCGTGATATACTATTTTTGTTTTATGAAATACGACAGAAAGGAGCAAGGTGTAGTTTGAAAACAAGACGTTAGTTTGTTTCAAAACAGTTTGGAAACATTAATCTCTGATAATTTAAGATTTTCCACTCCTGAAGGGCCTCTAGATCTATGAAATTCATTAATCCACTCAGTAAAAATACGATTTCTCTGCAACCTGATGTCCAATCAAGATCATTCAAATATATATGTGTTCCTGACACGTTTGGGCGTCCGGGAATAGCAAGGTCTACACAAAGTTTGCACGCGAAATTGACTTTAATTCATGACTGAAATCGGGAAGACAAAATTTGAGATTCACAAACAAAATTGCTTGTGAAAACTATTTACAAAAGTGTTCCAGAGACTCTAATCTACTTGGCTTAGGTTTTATTTGAAGATACATTGCCTTATTAAGCAGGTAGAGGGGCATACAGAATACGGAAGCAAATGCTATGTTGAAAAATTTCTATATTTCAATTTGAACCTGTTATTACATGTCACGTAGGCCAGTGTTTTATATGGGGATTATATGTACTTTACTTGTTTACATGAACGTAAATCATTACATGAAATCTGCATTCTTCCGGGTTTATTCTGGGTTTGTATTGTCCTTTTGGGGCTTTTCGACTTTAAAACAAACCCTACCTAAATGGATTGTGTCTCGGGAACGTTTTTGTAAATAGTTATTATAAACAATTCTGAAAGAATATCACATATTTTTGTCTTCCCGATTTCAGTCATGAATTACGTCAATTTCTCGTGCAAACCGGATGCCAGAACATGTCAGGAACATAAAGATACTCGAATGATGTTGATTGAACATCAGGGTGCAGAGAAATCGTAATTTTACTGAGTGGCTTCACGAAAAAATAAGCAGCACTTTAGGCCACCTTAAATACAACTCGTCAGTTGTATCCAGTTGGAATCCCAGCGTATTTTTTTATTTTTTTAATTATATGGTTGTGCTTTGATTTTACGCTGAAAACATTTATAACAACGTCAACCTTATATTAAAACATTTATTAGACTCCAGATGTCAATCTGGAGTCTATTGTTTTTGCCAGTATTCTTATTCTTCTTATTCTTATTATTCTTTGGGAGTTTTTTCAATAACTATGAGGTATCCAGTAAGAACCATAATACAGTTGATTTAGGTTCAGTATCTAGTTGGTGGGAAATTGGGTCAAAATTTTATCTAGGTCAAAGGTCAAGAACTAGGTCAAATCCAGTACTTTGTCACTTTTTTTGATTTTCTCGGTCGTCCTTCAATATTTTTGATCCGTTTTTTTTTCATTGTGTTCCTCATAAAAATGTAGAAAATCTAGGGTCGATTTAGTTTTTTGGTATCTCAAACCGATTTCTAGATATCAGTGTCCGAAAACGAGGTCCAAAAAAAAGTTCTCCGAATCCAATGTCCAGGATATCAGTCTTATGGGAGATTTTCTCAGGATTCCGAATCTGAAATTCAAATTTCGATTTGATTTCCGGTTCAGAAGTTATGGCGTTTTGAAAATTCAAAAATCGCTAAATTTGGTGCCCCATGTTAATTCAATGGGAAAAAATATTTTTTTGAAGTGTAAAATACGAGATACAGACTAAGCACAGCTAAACATAATGGAAGCCCATAAAAGAAAGGGACCTCAAAACCTTCTTTTCATAAAAATTTGGACACCAAAATGCCTAGGTCAAAATCTAGGTCAAATTCAAAGTTTTTCCTTATTTTTGCGATTCTGACACTACAGATTAATTATATTCTTCAAAATTGTGTATACATGTAGCCAAGAGTGTGCTAATAGTGTTAGCCTTTTGCCGTCAGAAAGTATTTTGCCCCACTTTTGAGATATGGTGTCCGAAAAGTAGGTCAAAATAAAAAATTCTCCAAATTTAACGTTTGAGTTATGAATTAAGTATAGAATTTTCCCAGGAATCCG